GAGATTTCTCCCCCCTGGGACTCCTATATCCTTTCTTGATACCATCTGATGCCACTTCTCTCATGTCATCTTTTTTTTCTCTTTTTTTGAGACAGAGTCTCACTCTGTCACCTCGGCTACAGTGCCGTGGTGTCAGCCTAGCTCACAGCAACCTCAAACTACTGGGCTCAAGTGATCCTCCTGCCCCAGCCTCCTGAGTAGCTGGGACTACAGGCATGTGCCACCATACCTGGCTAATTTTTCTATTTTCAGTAGAGATGGGAGTCTCATTCTTGCTCAGGCTGTTCTTGAATTCCTGACCTCGAACAATCCTCCCACTTCAGCCTCCCAGAGTGCTAGGATTATACGTGTGAGCCACCATGCCCAGCCTCTCATGTCATCTTGTATCCTAATTGTTCACCTTTATTTTTTAACTTTTAAATTTTATCACAAATTGATAATTTATAGTCATATATATTTATGGGGTACAAAGCAATGTTATGATTTATATATACAATGTAAAATAATTAAATAAAGCTATTTAACATATCCATCACCTCAAATACTTATCATTTTTATGGCGAGAACATTTGAAATTTACTATCTGAGTAATTTTGAAATGTACAATACACTATCATTAACTATATTCATCATGCTGTGCAATAGATCTAAAAAAAAATCTTATTCCTCCTGAGACTTTGTATCCTTTGATCCATTCCCTCATACCAACCCCCAACCTCTGTGGCCACCATACTACTCTCTGTTTCCATGAATTTGATAGTTTTAGATTCCACATGTAAGTGAGATCATGCAGCATATGTCTTTCTGTGCCTGGCTTGTTTCACTTAGCATAATATTCTCCAATTCCACCCATGTTTTCACAAATGATGGAATTTCTTTCTTTTTAAAGGCTAAATAGTGTCCCATTGTGTATATACGCCACATTTTCTTTATCCATTCTTCCCTTTAGGAATACTTAGGTTGATTCCATAACTTGGAATAGTATGCACTTGTGAATACTATTCCATAACTTGGAATAGTATGCTATTGTGAATAGTATGCACTTAACTTTCTTCTTTGGGGGGCAGTGGTCCTAGTCTGTGTTGTTATGACTTCCTATGTGCCTAGAACAATGCTTGGTATGTAGTAGTTGGTATCACTTGATACCAACTGAACGATTTCATGAGTAATGGCAGAGGTGATGACTTTGGCCTTCTGTGGTATACTTCCCCTGCTCTGCCATGACAGTAACTGGGCAGCATCTGAGGGGCACATGGGTGGTGAGAGAGAGAGTCACAGAGGCCGAGCTTGCTTTTACTCCACACACAGCCACCCCTTATACTCATGTTTGTGTTACAGGATTTTTACAGTAAGTAACACTTAGCCCATTCTCCTTTGGTTGTTAATGAAAAGAGAAGTTTTGCAGTTGCTCAAGAGAAAGAAGTTCCTTGTCATTTATTTATTCGTTTTTAATTATTATGAATAATAATAATAATAAAAAACCTCTAACCAGCATGGTTTAACTTATGGGCCTGGCAGGCTCTGTGCTTGCTTTTACACATATTGGTGTAGGTCAAATCCAGTGTGGTTTACATACATTATCAATTGGATCCTTCCCACAAATTTTTGAGAGTTATTAGTATTCCCATATTATAGATGGGGAAACTGAGACCCAGAAAGGATAAATAATTTTCTTAATATTACTTAAGAAAAGTGGAAAATTCAGAATATAAATGCAGGTTTTTGCCACTCCAAGGTCCATGTGCTTTCCACTTTACCACAAATGGCTTGACTAAAATGTTTGAATTAGCAGTACAGAGACCACTCAAGCATCTTCATGACCTTTCCTTGGGCTTTCCCAGTGGCCAGAAGGGCAAGGCTTACACGATGGCTGTGGCAATAGTGACATAAAGAAAAGTTTGAGAGGTAGATTTTCTTTTCTCTCTAGGTTTGTACTCATGTGTTTAGAAAAGTAAGAGAGAATAGCAGAAAGCTTCCTCTTTCCTTCTCAGCAGCTCCAAGACCAGCTGCATGTGAAGACAGGAAGGTGAGAAAGACACCATGATGATCATGCTCATTACTGTGCCGTGCTAAGAGCTTATCGCCTTCATGGGGAGTTGGTGACTTCTTCCATCGTGTCATACACTTGTAGAATTCAGGGACTGACATATGGTCTTGTCAAAGTAAAAAGGTGGATGGAAGTGGAGAATCCATTAAACAAGGTATTTTAGCAACTAATCAGCCACAAGAGCTCAGCACTGATTTGCAAAGGGTATAACATTTACACCTGAAAATATATAGTGTGATGGTTGTGGGGGACATAAATACCAATTAGAAATTCAATACCAGTGTCAATGTGGATGCTGTTTTCTTGATGTTTTTGGCCCTTGGCTACATTCTAGATTAATAGGCATAGAAATAAAGTCAAAGATTATTTAGTACATCCTCCTGCTGATGGGCAGAACAGCACCTCGAAAGAAAGTTGATATGGAAAGAATGCTGATAAGTCATAGGAATTGCTCGCAGGAAGGAAAGTGTCAGCAGAATTAAGTAGGGTTAATTGTAAGGGATGAATTTGCTTTGGTAGTGATGTTTGAAATCTTGTCATTCTCAAGAGAGACACAATAATATTGATTTTTTTTTTAATGAACCTGCAGATCCTCAGGGTAAAACTCTCCCTTAGGTCTTTGAAGAGTTTCAGGTGATTTGGAGTGGCTTGTATATTTTTTCTGTAGAGGGTTAGGCCAAACTAGTGACAAGCTAAACTCTGAGTGTAATCCCACCCTCTCGTGAGCTCGGAAGAGCAACCACTAATATGCAGAGGCTTCTGAAGTCCAGGAATTTGTTAATGTACTGGGCACAATGGTCCCTGGTACAGCTTTAGATGTGCTTAAATGAGACCACCAGATGGACACACCGAGCTGACTTATCAATTCAGTCAAATAAACAGTAGGATTTTTCCTCTAAGTTACTTTGAAATTGACTAATTCAACCTAATTGACAGTATTGGCCAGCTGGTTTGGTGATATGTTAACATTTCTCCATCGTAGTTAACATTTTAAATGTTGTAGAGTTAATTCATATTCTGACGTGTATAAAATAAACGCTTGTCCCATAAACCCAATACTCACATATGGTATAGTATGAATACTTTGATTCCAAATAAATTAAGAAAGGTTTTTCAAGTATCAGATTCCTTTACC